TCAGGAAGGACGTACCCAGACCACTGTGGGCTCCTGGGTATGTGTCCCACAGCCTCCACTCTGCTTCCAGGTCACTCACTGAAGTAGCATTAGTCTCATTGGCTGCTAACCAGGGTTGGCGAAAAGATGGAAGGGAAATCTAGCTCTTTTTCCTTCTCTTCAGTTTCAACACTTCTTTTCTTTTCTGTCCCCTTCTGTGTTACCTTTTTGTTACTATAACTGATTTACAAAGAGCAAGTACTTAGGTTAGGGTATCCCTGGTCAGTTGGCTTATTCACAGTTTTGGAGGGCTCAGTCCATGCTCAGTTGGCTCATTGCTTTTGGGCTTTATGGCAATGCTGTACATTATGGTAGACAGTGGGAGCACCTGGTGAAGGGGCCCCTGACTTCATGGTGACCAGGAAGCAAAAGAGACAGGAAGAGGAGGAGCCAGGGTTTCAGTAAATCCTCTTGAAGGGCATATCCATATGACCTCACTTCCCTCTACAGGGCCTTCTACTAAAGGCTCTTCACCTCCTAATAGAACTAAGCCTTCAACACAGGGGCCTCTGGGGGTCATTCAAGATCCAAACTCTTAACACCTCCTGCCATCATTCCCTGCCAGTCCATCCCATCTTTTGCTATCTTCATTCTATAATCACTGAATTATTTTTTAAGAACAATTGTAATGCCAGGAATCCCAGTGCATAGTCATGTTTCTTGATTGATTGATTGCCAATTCTGGGGGCTTGAACTCGGCCTGGGCACTGTCCCTGAGCTTTTTTTTTTTTTTTTTTTTTTGGTCTTGGGGCTTGAACTCTGAGTCTGGCCTTCAGCTCTTCAGCTCAAGGCTAGCACTCTACCACTTGAGCCACAGCACCACTTCTGGCTTTTTTGTGTTACTGAGGAATGGAACCCAAGATTTCATGCATGCTAGGCAAGCATTCTTTTTTTTTTTTTGTCAGTCGTGGGGCTTGAACTCTGGGCCTGGACGCTGTCCCTCAGCTCTTCAGCTCAAGGTGAGCGCTCTACCACTTGAGCTACAGCGCCACTTCCGGTTTTCTGGCGGTTTATTGGAGATAGGAGTCTCACGGTGTCTCCTGCCCGTGGGCTGGCTTTGAACCGCGATCCTCAGATCTCAGCCTCCTGAGTAGCTAGGATTACAGGCGTGAGCCACCAGTGCCCGGCGCTAGGCAAGCATTCTGCCACTAAGCCACATTCCCAGCTAAATTTATTTTTTGTTGGTCATGTGGCTTGAGCTTAGGGTCTGGGTGCTGTAAGCTGTTTTGTTGAAGGCTAGCACTCTGCCATTTTGAGCCACAGTTCCACTTCAGTTTTAAGGTGGTTAATTGGAGATAAGACTCTCATGGACTTTCCTGCTGGGGAGCTGGCTTTAAACCATAATCCTCAGATCTCAGCCTTCTGAGTAGCTAGGATTACAAGTGTGGACCATAAGGTCCCCGGCTTAAATTTTTTTTTTTTTGTGGGGGGGGGGGGGGTCCGGTTGTGGAGCCTGAACTCTGGGCCTGGGCACTGTCCCTCAGCTCTTCAGTTCAAGGCTAGCGCTCTACCACTTGAGCCACAACGCCACTTCCGGCTTTTTTCTTTTTGCTTATGTGGTGCTGAAGAATTGAACCCAGGGCCTCAGGCATGCAAGGCAAGCGCTCTACCACTGAGCCACCTTCCCAGCTTAAAATTTTGGACAGTACTGGGCTTTGTACTTAGGACCTAGTGCTTTCTAGGTAGACACTCAACTACTAAGCCACACCTCCAGCCCCAGTCCCAGTGCATGGGAGGACCCTCCTGCCGGGACTGCTGGGATGGGAAGAGAAGACCTTTGCTCCTGAGGGATACCCAGCATTATGCGGGACAAATACTGTGATAGGCCATACAAAGGGTGGGGCAGAGATGAAAGGGAATGTCCTCAACAGCCAAGGGGCATGGAAATAGTCTTCCGTGGAAAGTTTCTTTTGGGCTATTCAGTGAGATCCTATCATTATACGTATACATACAAACCAGTGACAGAATAACAACAAAAGGTTAAGGGATCACTATACCTTATTGATTACCCAGTGCTTTTCAGCTCTGCAAGTCTGCTTGGTATTTCTGGAGTGAGAGTAGATGATTAAAGTCTAGATTGAGGGCTGGGAAGGTGGCTCAGTGGTAGAGCGGTTGCCTTTCATGCCTGAGGCCCTGGGTTCGATTCCTCAGCACCACATAAGCAAAAAGAAAAAAGCCGGAAGTGGCGCTGTGGCTCAAGTAGAGCGCTAGCCTTGAGCTGAAGAGCTGAGGGACAGCGCCCAGGCCCAGAGTTCAGGCCCCAGGACCAGACCCCCCAAAATAAAATAAAATAAAGTCTAGATTGAGAAAGGTACCAGAGACAATTAGTACTGAGTGTGTCCTATTTCTATAATGCATTTCTTGGGCATGTCTGTATTGTAAAAGTATATAACCCGGGAGCCTCAAAAAGTAAAAGTGGCCTAGGCTCTCTAACTTAGAGCCCTCCCCCCCTTCAGCCCCCAGCCCTCGCCCCTTCAGCCCCCAGGCAGATCCAGGGAAAGGTCTTGAGCAACTGCTGCTATGAGGTTCTGAAACTGGGAGAGCTGAGTAAAAGATGGAGCTGCGTTGTTCCTCCCGTGCAGATCCTGCTGATGGAGCAGTGTGCTCCATGCTCCCTTTGGCAAAGTGAGGAGATCTTTACACAGATGCACATCTCCGCGGAACTTCTAAATATACTTTCTTGTTAGGTCAACTGTGGACAGTGGATTCTCTTACATTTGTCTTCTATGATAAAAGTTTGTGTTGTTACACTGTATGCTTAACACTTAGGATGTTTTTATTTTGCAGTTTGGCTCAATCCCCTTAAAGCAGCACAGTCATTACTGCTGCTTCAACTATGCAGGGGCAGAGGTTGTGAATGACTATGGAAAATGGGGTCTGTGTGTGTCTTACCCTACCACTGTGTAGCACACAGATGGCCCCGGGGGAGTGTTACCTTTAAAACACCGAAAACAAAAAGAAAACAAACAGTGAAAGGCTCTTTGTAGAAAGAACAAAACCCAATAGAATGAAAATGCACAAGACATCACATTTCAAGCCAGTAAAGGCTGGGTTGAAAACTTTAAAAGGGGGGACCCTCTGCCCCAACCACAGCTTGTGACTCTGTCTCAGCACTTTGTGTGACACCACCCTACGCTTCTCGAACTTACCAGGGTTCCACTGATCTGTGTGTTTGCCTTGAAACTGATGTGCTCTGCACTTCCTGTCCTGAAAAATGTGTACTTGGGGTCATTTTCTTGAAATTCGTTAATCACTTAGTCTCCTTCTTTGGGATGGAAGGCTCAGGATGCTTTTCAGAAAGGTTATTCCAGGGGGCACTGCTTCATCTTCCTCCATGTGACTAATGGTCCTGGAGCCCATCCTCTAATACTCAAATTTTGAAATCTACTGACACTGATCTTGAAATACTTCCCTATCACTTAGCTCTTTTTTCAGTGACTTTGGACTCTTTTTAAGATAGGATCTTCCTTTCTTCTCTCAGACTGACCTGGAACTCTTGATATTCATGAACACTGAGATTACAGAAGTGAGCCACCATGCCCAGCAGTTTAGCATTCTAGTCATCCTCAGGTTATGTCTACAAGGCTTGGGTAGCTTTCTGTCATTTCTGCTGCTGCTTGTTGCTCCCCAGAAAACATTTCCTACCCAATATTTTCTTTTCTCTTTCTTTAAAAACCTATGTTTCCTTTTCTTTTTCTTTTTTGGTTGATTTGTGGGGCTTGAACTCTGGGCCTGGGCGCTATTCTCAATTCTTCAGCTCAAGGCACGTGCTCTACCACTTGAGCCACAGTGCCACTTCCGCTTTTCTGATGGTTAATTGGAGATAAGAGTCTCATGAACATTCCTGCCCGGGCTGGCATTGAAATGTGATCCTCAGATCTCAGCCTCCTGAGTAGCTACGATTGCAGGTGTGGGCAAACAGTGCCCGGCAGATTTTGTACTTTTTAGCATACACATTTTACAAAGAAATATGATTTCACTTACCAGTCTTCATTTTGCTGGCTAGGACTTCAAGTATGATCCTGCATAGAAGGGGTGTAAGTGGCATTGTTGATTATTCTCTTGCCCTCCCCATCTTAGGGGAAGGCATCTAGTTTTTTTGTTGGTGGTGTTTTTTGTTTTTTTGTTTTTGTCAGTCACAGGCCTGAACTCTGGGCCTGGGCACTGTCCCTCAGCTCTTCAGCTCAAGGCTAATGCTCTATTACTTGAGCCACAGCACCATTTCCGGCTTTTTTTTCTACTTATGTGGTGCTGAGGAATCAAACCTGGGGCCTCATGCATGCAAGGCAAGCACTCTACCACTGAGCCACCTTCCCAGCCCGGCATCTAGTATGTTTGATGACATTAGCTGTCTTTCCTAGTTGCCCTCTATCATGTTACAGAATTCCAGTGCTCAGGATGAAACCAGGGCCTTACCTGTACTAGGTAAGTGTTATGCCTCTAAGCTAAATTCTCAGCCCATTGTTTCTTCAGATGGGGTTTTGCTATATAGTTTAGCTTGGCTTTGAACTATATATTCTTGTGTTTCTGCCTCCTGAGTCCTGAATTACAGACATGTACCACTACAACTAGCACAGCATTTCTTTTTTCTTTTCTTTTTTGTTTTTGGGTCTGGTCGTGGGGCCTGAACTCTGGGCCTGGGCGCTGTCCCTCAGCTCTTCAGCTCAAGGCTAGCACTCTACCACTTGAGCCACAGCTCCACTTCCGGCTTTTTTTTCTTTTTGCTTATGTGGTGCTGAGGAATCGAACCCAGGGCTTCAGGCATGCAAGGCAAGCGCTCTACCACTGAGCCACCTTCCCAGCCCCAGCATTTCTTTTTTCTAATCCTAGTTAATTGAGAGTTTTTTTTTTCTCCTCTCAGTCCTGGGGTTCCAACTCAGGGGTTCATAAGTGCTAGGCTGACACTTTACTGTTGAACCATGACTCTAGACCTTTTGCCTCAGTTATTTTTGAGATATGATCTGGCTTTTGTCCTCACATATACTGATGTTGGAATGATACAGAGATGATTAGCATGACCCCTGCACAAGGATGACATGCAAATTCGTGAAGTGCTCCATATGTTTAATTTGAAGAATGAAATTGAAAAAGACATAAGGAAGTAGAAGGACCTTCATACTCCTGGATTGACAGGATTAATACTGTGAAAATGGTAATATTGCCCAGAGTAATCTACAAATTCAGTGTAAATCCCATCAAAATCCTATCATTCTTCAGTGAGAAAGAGAAAACAATCCAAATCTTTGTTACCAAAAAGACCCCACTTGCAAATGCAATCCTGAGCAGAAAAAGTAGAGGTAGAGGTATAACAATAACAAACTTCATGCTCCACTACAGAGGTATAATAAGAAACACAGCTTGGTACTGGGACAAAAACAGGGTTAAGGACCAATGGAACAGAATAGAATACCCAGAAATAAAGCCAAAGACCTATTGCCATTTAATATTTGATAAGGGCGCCAAAACACAGGCTGGAATGAAGACAGCCTCTTCAACCAATGGTGCTGGGAAAACTGGATGTCCACATGCAGAAAACAAATTGGATCCCTATCATCTTGCACCAGCATCAATTCAAGATGGATCAAAGATTTCAATCTAAGACCTATAACCATAAAACTATTATAGGAAGGAGTAGGAGAAACATTAGGGCTCCTTGGTACAGGCAGGAACTTTCTGAGTAAAGATCCAGAAGCATAGTAAATCAAAGGAAGTCTTGATAAATGGGATTGCATCAAACTACAAGGTTTCTGCACAGCAGAGGATACAGCCAACAAGTTAAAAAGACAGCCTACAGAATGGGAGGAGATTTTTGCCAGCTATACATCAGATAATAGCCTACTGTCAGAATATACAGAGAGCTTTAAAAAACTAAATCCTCAGAGAACTGACCACCCGATTAATAAATGTAGTCCATTTATTAAGGAGCTAAAGAGACTTCTCAGAAGATGTAAACATGGCCAGACAGACACATGAAGAATGCTCAGCATCTCTGGCCATAAAAGAAATGCAACTTAAAACTGAGTTCCATCTCATCCCAGTTAGAATGGCCATCACCAAAAATAAAAGCAATAACAGATGCTGATGAAGATGTGGCCCAAAGGAAACCCCAATATACTGTTGGTGAGAATATAAACTTGTTCAACCAGTTTGGAAAGCAGTATAGAGGTTCTTCAAAAAATTAAACATAAGCTAGGTGCCAGTGGCTCAGGTCTGTAATACTAGCTACTCAGATGACTGAGATTGGAGGATTGGGGTTCCAAGCCAGCCTGGGTAGGAAATTCTTGAGACTCTTATCTCCAATAAACTACCAAAAAAAAAAGAAAAGAAAAGAAGTGGAGCTATGACTCAAATGGTAGAGTACTAGCCTTAGCAAAAAAAAACCCTAGGGGATAGTAGCACCCAGGCCCTGAGTTCAAGCTCTAAGATTGTCAAAAACAACAAACTAACCATAAGAACTACCCTGACCAGCAGTTCAACTTCTGGACATTTACCCAAAAGATTATAAACCAGTATACAGTAAAGTCACTAGCACAACCATGTTTTATAACAGCACTATGTACCATATCCAAGGTGTGAGATCAGCCCAGATGCCCTTCAGTGGACAAATGAATCAAGAAAACGTGATGCTAGCTAACTAGCTAGCTAGATACACACACACACACACCACACACACACACACACACACACACACACATGCACACACACACACACACACACACACACACACAATGGAATTTTACTCATCCCTTAGGATGATATTGTACCATTTACAAAGAAATGGAAGGAGATGGAAAAAATTATGTGAAGTAAGTCAGGCCCATATTTTCCCTCATGTGGAAGCTAGAGTTAGCTTATAAACTTACAAGTAAATACATTCAGTGGTGTGCAAGTGTATACAAATATATTAACTGAAATATGGTAGATTCAAGGAAGAACTCAAATACTGTATTCACTTAGAATGGCAAAGTCTAAGTTCAATAAAATAAAAATCAGGAAACAGGTACTTGAAAGGGGTGGGGTCAAGAGGAGTGGGGTAGACAGTGAAGAGCCAGGGAAAGAATGTAGTCAAGAATCCAGTGTATATACTACAAAATTAAGAAAATTTGAGGGAGCCGGGGCTGGTGGCTCATGCCTGTAATCCTAGCTACTCAGGAGGCTGAGATCTGAGGATCAAGGTTCAAAGCCAGCTGGGGCAGGAAAGTCCATGAAACTCTTATCTCCAATAAACCACTTGAAAACTGGAAGTGGTACTGTGGCTCAAGCATTAGAGCGCTTGCCTTGAGCTGCAGAGTGCAGGGACAGAGCCTAAGCCCAGAGTTCAAGCCCCAGGACTGACCAAAAAAACAAAAAAAAAAAAGAAAAAAAGAAAAGTGAGGGAATGGGTGGGTTGGGAGGGATGGTGAGAATGCCGAAAGGGATAACATTGATTAAGACATATCGTATTCATAAACTGCTTTGTAGAATGGCAACTTCTATACAACTACTTAAAAATAATTTTTTAAAGATCTTGCTTGTATAATTGGGATGGCAGGCATGTGTAGTAACACTCAGCTTTTTTGTTGAGATGGGGGGGTCTCATGAAGTTTTGGTCTGGGCTGGTCTGGAAATGTAATCCTCCCGATCTCTACCTCCCAAGTAGCTAGGATTACAGGAATAAGCTGTTAGCACTTGGCTTACTGAAGTAGTTTTTTACTTCTTTATTTTAAATCAGGAATGAATGTTGAATTTCATCCAGTGCTTTTTCTGATCAGTTGAGATTTTTTTTTCTTTTTTAGTCATTTAATATGGTGAATTTTTAAAAAACAACTTTTGAAGTTACCTAGCATCCCCTGGGTTAATCCCATTATTCCCATTATAGTGTCTTAAAAAATTGGTTGAGCTAGGTGCCAGTGTTTCATGCCTGTAATCCTAGCTACTTGAGAGGCTAAGAGCTGTGGCTTTGGTTTGAAGACAGTCTGGACAGGAAAGACCATGAGATTCTTACCCTCCAGTTAACCACCAAAGTCAGAAGTGGAACTGTGGCTCAAGTGGCAGAGTACTAGCCTAGAGCAAAAAAACTAAACGACAGTTCAGGCTTTGAATCCAGGCCCCGTGACTGGCACACAAATGTTAAATCTAATTTGATCCTCAGATCTCATCCTCCAGAGTAGCTAGGATTACAAGCTCCCTACCGGGCTTTTAATATCAGTACTGGTTGTAGGTAGAGATATTGCCCCTCTCTTGATATTGGTAATTTGTGGTTCTTATTTTTGGCTTTATCTGGAAAAATATTAATGTCGTTTTTCTTCACAAAGAATGTTTTTGCTTTCATTGATTTAATTTTTTATTTAACAAAACAGCTTAATATGAAAATGTTCATGACCTGATTTTGTATCATAGTAAAACAAGCCTGTAGAAAGGAGACATATAGAAGCAATTGAGTTTTCTCAATTGCTTCTGAGTACAGTCATTTTAAAACTCATTCCAAGACTTCAAACACGATGATACTATTTCATCATAATTCCGTCATTCCAGTATTATTCTGTTGCTTGCCTTTTGCCACCACTACACATTCTTCTATCACAAGATTCATAGAAGTTAAATCTCTACAATCTCCACAATATTCTTTGGGCATATCTGCTACTTTTTAATTTTAAAGATAATTTTACAGTCGTCTTTTTTTTTCTTTTATTCACCAGAGTGACCTTTGTTGTCTGGTTTTTAAATGATGGGTTTAGAACATTATTGATTTTCTTTCCTCCTATTTTTGTGTTTTCTACTTCCTTAGTTTCTACTATTTTATTAATCTCCTGATTTCCATTTATTCTAACTTCTCTAGGTAGGAGCTGAGTTGAGAACTTTGTTCTGACATAGGTAGTCAGTGCTATAAATTACCTTCTTAAATATTTCTGCAAGAACTATAAATAATTTCCATTTGGTATGATGAGATATGATTTGGTTTTAACCTACTATCTTGCTATTTGTATTCTGTTAGTGCTATATTCCTTTTTGATGCCTCTAACTTCTTTGGAGACAGGCTCTCACCATGTAGCCTAGGCTGGTTTCAAATTTACTATCTTGCTGCCTGTGACTCCTGAGTGTTGGGACTACAGGTATACACCACCATGCCTAGTTTATCTGCCTTCTTTTTATTGAGTTCTATTGTATTATTTTTTAAGTGGTTCTGAGTTCTGGGAATTGAACTCCGGGCCTTACATATACTAAGCACACACTCTACCACTGAACTATATCCCCAGCCTTCATTTTTATCTTTTTGGGCAAATTAGCTATATTTCTTTGTTTTTATTATTTTATTAAGTGATAGTATGCATCTTCAAAATCTATCTTTAAATAAATTGTATCATCAAATACTTTATATCTCCATTTCACACCTCCAAGGTGTTTTGTTATAATTATTTATTTTGCTTTTATGTGTTATCAATACCTATATAGTGTTGTTGTTTGCTATCCTAAGGTTTGAACACTTGAGCCATGCCTCAAACCAAGTACTATTTTTGCTTTAAGGTAGCTATTTGAGTAGCTACCAGAACATTTTCAAAAAAGGTTGAACCATTTTATATTCCCACCAGCAACGAATGAAGATCTGTCGATATATAATACTTCTTATTTTCTACCATTTTTATTTTGGGGGTCCGGTTGTGGGGCCTGAACTCTGGGCCTGGGTGCTGTCCCTCAGCTCTTCAGCTCAAGGCTAGCGTTCTACCACTTGAGCCAAGCTCCACTTCCGGTTTTCGAGTGGTTTTTATTGGAGATGAGAGTTTCACAGACTTTCCTGCCCCGGCTGGCTTTGAACCACGATCCCCAGATCTCAGCCTCCTGAGTAGCTAGGATTACAGGTGTGAGCCACCGGCGCCCTGCTCACTTTTGTTTTTTTCTGCTTATGTGATGCTGAGGAATCGAACCCAGGGCCTCGTGCATGCAAGGCAAACACAGTACCATTGAGCCACCTTCCCAGCTCCTAAGATGGTTTTTTAAATTAGGTTGAGGAAGTTTCTTTCTTAGTTTCATTCCATTCTTAGTTTTAGTACCCTTAATTTATAGGGTATTGAATTTTGTCAAGTATCTT